GAGAGGATGGCGTTCTGGCAGGCTGACGATGAGGCCTAAGGGGCGCGGAGGCAGGCACAGTCAGCTTTAGTCAATGCGAAGTTCAAAGGCCACGCTTCTCTACCCCAAATTAGTCACCATTACACAGTCGCTGAAGCCCCTCTCCTAACAACTCTACTGTCTCGCACGGCTTCCAAACAACGCTGTTCTCTGAAGGGTTGGGCACACGGGGGGAGGATTGTTATTTAGGGAAAACAGTCTATAACTAATCATGAGGCCATGCTGACAACAACCTGAGAAGCTGGTCTCTACAATGCATTTTGGAGGACCCAAGAAAAAATGAATTTCCTGGTCTTTTGGTATAAAGCAGATGGCCACATCTGAATCCTTTAGGCACCTATCAGCAGCCAATCATGCCTTTGGCTTTGCAATACTTCCTGATGATGCATACTCTTAAGTGCTGCAAATGGGTTTGAACTAGGCAAGCATACAGATTAGGGCTGAACGATATATCGTGTCATGGCGACAACCGCGATATGCGCATGCGCGATATTCACATCGCAGGGACGTGCGCTTTTATTAATTTCTTTTTTTTTTTTTTTTGGACGTGCGATATTAAGTAGGTACATTAACTCAAACACGTCATGTTGCAATTATTTTGCTGCTTGCTACAAAAGGAAAACTTGCGCGGCTCTCATGTCAGGGGTACTTGAGTGAGTGACATGCGGGCTCTGCATGCACAGCAAACCACCAATCACAATCATTCTTGATCAGATCACAGCAGGCCCCGCCCCGCTAGTTTGCAGACCACCGGTAAAAAATGAGCGAGGAACAGGAGGACAATACCGGCGAGAATGAAGATTTAATTCCAAAAAGAAAAGCAACATCTGCCATCTGGAACTATTTTGGATACGAAAAGGTTCTTCTCTTCTTCATTCACAGATGAACCCCCTTATTTGAGGGTAAGCAACATGCATTATCATGACATGTTAGATCATGACTTAAGGTATGATGAGTCAACCAGTTAAGATCCAGACGTCCGTGACTAAAATCCTTCATTCGGTTAAATATAATATATAAAAACGCAATATATATGGCAGGGGAAAAAAATATCGCAATGTCAGTTTTTTTCAATATCGTGCAGCCCTAATGCAGATTGGGACACAATCAGGCTTTTTTTTCTACTAATATGACTGTAGCATTAGAGTAGAAAAGTAGGAAACAAGGCAAGCCTGAGCCAGCCATAGCTATATAAGCTTTATCAATGCAAATGTTAATAACTGCATTTGAGATTAAACTGATCATTATCTTCCTGACATTCTAGAAACCAAACAATTCATTGATTCACAAAGGAAATCACCTTTACAATAATCATTTGTTTGGGCCCGGAATCACATTAAATTGGTCAAAAATGGCCTTTTCCATCAAACAACTTGTGTTTGTTGCATTGATTTTTTCTCAAGAACCCACACTTTATCCCAGGAGGATATTGTTTACTACATTATAAAAGGTTTGCAATCTTCCTTTTTGTTCTGTGGAAGTCTCTCATCTCTCTTGCGGCCGGGTTTACATTTCTTTGCGTCAGGTGCTTTGCTGACAACATGCTAAATTATTTAAAAAACCTGCCACCTACAATGTGTGAGCTTTCAAAGCGGGGTCCACATAAAAGACGAGGGAAGGCTAACCTCTCTGCAACAGTTGTTCCTGCTGTTTTTGCTCACAATCAAAGAACACGTGATTCAAACCTCTACACCTCCTTTTCATCAACTCCACTGGATACCGCGTAATGTACTGCGTAATGAAATGCAGCAACGAGCGTGCAACCGCTCTAATTCCAAATGAATACCAAACACAGTCGCACCGCACATTGCATCATGGTGAATCAGATTGTGCCTGATTAGGCTTCTCATATGAGTGTGATGCCTTCTCAGCAGGACATAGACTTCCATCGCCTGCTCCACTCGCCTCTTTTTTCGTCTTTTCTCGCTTTCTCCCGCTCCGCACTTACATTGCAGGAGAGCCTGCAGTCACATTGGCTCCGAGCAGTAACTTTGCAACCGAGACATCCCCCTGTGGTGCATGAGCTATCTATAGATATGTGATCAGATACACAAATCTGTTTCTCTGTTGCTGAGAGGTGGATATATATTTCCGTACACATCCCCCTTGCTAAATACACATTTGACATGTGCAACTAACAGCAACTCGAGATATAGTGGTGTGGTTTCATTTGGTGGCTTGATGGCAGTTTACAAGTGACAGGTTATGAATCAGGGGAGAGGAAGAAGAGACATAAAGGGGAGGAAGAGGTTGAGAGGGAGATGTGAAGGTGAGGGTGGGGAGTCAAGGAGGAGATGAGGCAAGACTGAGAGGTGAAAGAGAAAACTGAGTTCAGAGGAGAAGGGGAAGAACAGACGGAGGGAAGGGTTTATGATACGAGAACGATACTGTGGACATGGAACACATCTGTGTCGTAATGTTATTAAGGATGTGTTCTGCTAAACATGGATGATACTTCATCAAAAAAGGTATAAAATGTGTGTACAGACCACTTTAAATTAAGCTGGTACCTCATACGATACGATAATACTTTAATGGTCAGATCAGCTGGTTGATGGGCTATGTGGGAGCCAATAAAACCCTTAGCTTAGCCTCTCCAAAGAACGGTAACTGTAAAATCCTATGTTCGGCTCCAGACAGCCGGTCGAGCTTACATTGCTGTTTGCATACACAAAAATGCAATACTTCCAGAAAATACCTTCAAAGGTTGAGGTTGTCTTTCGCTCTCTTTTGAAGCCAAAAACACAAGAGGAGAAACTTTTTGTAGTTATTCACGTCTACTTTTCAGATCTATAACTCTTCTACAATTTCCTTTTGAGTCAGTAATTAACAAAGAAATTACAAAATTAAAGACAACAACATGAGAAGACCACTACTCATTGCCCAAACATACTTATAAAGTACAGTACGTGAACAATTAACTTGGTAAAATGGTTGTAGTGAAATTACTTTAAACCACTTTCAGAGGCAGATGTGAAAGCAGAGCCCCCCGGAAGTTAGCTGAGCGTAAAGCAAATGTTTGTAGTGGCCAAACAGTGGTATTACAACTTTGTGTCAGTCATTGAGCCCGAAAATACATTTTTCCATTGACTTGCATTGGGAAAGAGTGGTCTGTAAATTAGCTTTTTTTTTTTTCCCTAAATCAACTACCAAGTTGAATATCTCCTATTTAAATCATTAAGACCTAAAAGATTTAGCTTTCCTTCAAAGTTATGTTCAGTTCTTTCATGGTGCAATGCAGGAATGCTACTGCTGACTGCCTTCAACTGTCACATGACAATCATTTTGCGGGTTGTGTTACTCACAGCAAAAAGTTGTGAACATGACCTCATTTCTCAGGTGTTCATGAGAGTGTGCGGTTAGGTTAAAGTTACTCAAGGTAATGATGTACACAAAGTGTATCTGACTTGCAGCTGTCAGCCCTGACTCTCATTAACACACACACACACACACACACACACACACACACACACACACACACACACACACACACACACACACACACACACACACACACACACACACACACACAGGTTTGGTGAACTCACCTGATCAAAGTCACTCATTCATGTCTGTCCCTTCCTCTCTCTCTCTCTCTCTCCTACCCTCTGTCACTTACACTGCTGGGGATCAGAAGGGGACACTCACCTGCGGCAGTAGATGGCCTCGCTAAACAGGCTATTAGGATGCATTCAGGGGCGACTGGGACGGCTTGTAATGCCTCTATAATCACAAAGGCAGCGCATGGATCGACAGATTGTTCGGGATGACTGCCTCTGCACCGCATTCAAAGGCGAACTTAAAATGACTGCTCCATAATGTAAAAAATTGGAGGAATATTTGTTGATTTGACCGATAAACGCTTGATTCGTATAACTATCTAAGGAAGGGCAATACACTTTTTATCCAAAGTGTCTAAAGCCTACTTCTAAATGTTTTATTAGATTTGAATGTGGTCCAGCTGGTAAGACAGTGGTTGATGTGTGAAATAATCACTTTAAGGCCTCGATCGTAAGTAATCGAGATGCACCTTCATTACAACTGAGCATACATATTTGGCATCTCATTGTCGGGGTGAAAAAAAAGTTCACTATCTGAAAAATGACATGTACAAGACAGCCACGTCTCGAGCGGGCTTCTGTGGAGTTTAACTGAGCACAGCGGACAGCATGCCTAAACACTCTGAAGAGTTACAGCCATGAAACCACATAACCCTCACAGTATCAAATCCAAAATTGAATTTTCTGCTCTGTCGCGTGTTGCGTGGGCGAGGGGAATGGAAAGTAAAGAAGGGAAGGGGGGGAAGCGTTCTTTGAATCTCTTAACCT